ACAGGGAGTCTTGTGGTTTGGGGGGGTTCAGCAGAGGCTTTAAGTCAAACGGTCTCTTTAATGTGGTATGACTTTGCCCACTTGAGAGGCTGGTGTGAAGTTACAAGATTGGACCCAACTGGGAAGGGGTGATGAAGGGTCCAACTGCTGGGACAGGCGTCGTGAGGGGAGAGCACACTGGTACCAGAATCCCCAGCAGAGGCGGACCCTTTACTGAGGAGCTACATAGATCAGTGGCTCCTAAAGTGAGGTCATGAAGCTACGTTAACCGATCCCCACTACGCCGTTTCGTTTCATATACAGTTTATTCACTTTTTTGACCAAAGCAGAGTTTGATAACAAAAAAAACAACTGCATTTATATTGTGTGCTGAAAAACACAAACCAGAACAAACTACAAAAACCACACTTCCAAAGAACTGGGACACCGTGTAAAATGTCAGACTTTGTTTTTCACTGTGACTTCGGGTTTTGACAATTATAAAAACAAGAGTTAATACTTATTCATTTGTTTCATTTCCTAATTTCCACAGTCTCTTTCTGTAAACAGGGTTTTAAAACATCAGAAAAAATTCAGTTTCATGTTAAAAATCATGAAAAAGCGAAACAGTTTCCAAAAATGTCTCACAGCATAAATGTGAAACAGTTTTGACATATTTTCAATAGCACAGCTAGTTAGTACCACAGTTAAATTATTCTTTATTGGAAAAAGTACTTGGAAAAACAGTAAGCGGCACTAGATAAGTACATTCAAAAAAGAAAGGTGTACTTAAGAACCAAGGAAGCTGTGAATAGCTGTGATAGAAGAGTTAAAAAAAAGTGGTCACGCAGCAGCAAAGCAAGAAGAAACAGAAAATGAAAACAAATCCTTGACATTCCTGTGACATCTGTTTATTACACATACAAGTGTTTCATTAGAATGCAATATTACAGTATTGCTGCACACTGCCAAAAATATTTGTGCATGGTTCCCTGAGTGCATTGCCCAATGTGACACTAAGACTCCTCCCAGAATCAAACTGGGAAGTATCCTTCACAACACCAGCACATCAAGAACAGAGACCAACAACGAATCAGGACTGGACTGTCATGGCTGGGTCTGTGACCCAGCATTTTGAGTTCATTATATATTGTGTATTTCTGTTTAGTGTGGGGAAATGTTAAGTTGTTTTCTATCAGTTAGAACTTGAGTCTTTGTGTTTTGTAATTTATTGTTTGGGTTAAGCTCGTCTAGCTCTCTTACACCCCTAAGTTGTTCAGCCTTAGTTCTGTTTATTGGATCTCCTCATTTCCCCTTCCCCTGGATCTTAGTCTTGTTTACACTTTGTGGCTCAAGAGTTGGTAGTTCGCCTTGTAATCAGAAGGTTGCCGGTTCGAGCCCTCGGTCGTTGTGTCCTTGGGCAAGACACTTCACCACCTACTGGTGATGGCCAGAGTGGAATTGTGGAATTGTAAAACGCGTTGAGGGTCTCGATGAGCGCGATATGAATGCAATCCTTTATTATTTAAACCAACTGTTAACTGTATATTTCTGTACATTGAAGTATTATTATTCATATTGCCGGATTCATTGACCTTGTTTATAGGTAATTTCATTGTTTAATAACATTAAAATGTTCCTAATTTAATGTATAAAAGCACTTGAAAGAGGCAAAATCCCATTTAAAATTAGGGCAACAAATTGTATTGTCATTACTGAAAATAACCGTATTTTCATGTGAAAGTTGTTTTCTGTTATTTTCTGGTATTATTTTGGCGCCCCAGCTGCCGGAATATTACTGTTTTTTTAGGATTTTTTTTTTTTGTAGATTAACATGATCAGCCTAATTTTATTCCATACCTTAATCAAAACAGTAAATGTGGGATTATCATTTGGAAGAATAGTGCTTCTTCCCTCAAGCAGAGCACTGGAGACTTCAATCAATGCCAAAACCAGTGCATTAAAGTTGTTCTAGCAACACATAGCTGATACTATGCATATTTCTAAATAAATCTGCCACCAGTCTGTAGTGTTAATTTGTCCTGATGCTAATAAAACGGCACTGAAAAGAACTGAGATTCCGCTCAAAAGAAAAGCATGAAATATTGTATTTTGACACTTTATAACTTCATATTCCTTTAAAATGAAAAAACAATGATTAGCCACTTTAATAGATAACCCATGAAATGCATTGCTATCTCTGTATTACCACAAGTTCCACTTTTACAAAGCTTCACTTTCGGTGTTTGTTGAAAAAGATCATGGATGCTGAAAAGATATATTTCAACTTTATGTTTACGTTCATAGAGGAGTGTGGTGGTAGAATAGATTCCACTACATTTAAAATGTTTATAGAAGTGTTTACGTTGACATACTGTACATGAACTAAAGCAAAGTTTAATGTGACATCAAACAACAACAAAAAACAAACAGAAGCTGTTTTAATAGTTCACTTAAGGGCGGAGCTTCTGTGCTGGAGCCACTTAGAGTTCACAGGTGTACCTAATAAAGTGGCCAATGAGCTTGACCTCACTGAAACCCCATCTGAAATATGAAGCCTCCCATAACCCACTACTTTTTACAATAAAGCCCCTGCTGGATCCAGCCTCAACCACAAACCCAAACACTCAAATACCAGCCTGCCCTGTCATTCTTTTGTATCCTACACACACACACACACGCGCGCACACATAAACACCATGGTCGTTACACATGCGTACAGCAAACATACAAACACGGGCATACACATATACAGTATTCATCTACCTATCCATTCATCAGACGACAGCAGCTTCTGTCTGCAAAAACAAAAACCGGCTAAGTGTTGCCAAACACTGACTGCCAACAGCAGCAGTGTTCACCAACCCGACCTACAGCATGTGTGCACTGCAAGAGTGTGGCCTCTCTGTTACTCTAGCTAAAGATGGCAGGTGAAAGGTGACCAGAAAACGAAAGAAAGGGGAAGAGGTGCTGAGCCCTGTGGTTTTGGTGGGTTAAAGAGCACAGCATGCTCACATATTAAAAGCCATCTGACACGTAGCTAACTAGAGTAGCGACTCTGTTTGCAAAAGACACCGCAGAGAGAAAGCGAGTGAGAAAAGCAAGCAGTCCCCTGACTTTTCTTCTACTTTCTCCCCCTTTGTTTTATCCAGATCCAACAGTGACGTGAGAAGTAAACGCTGACGTTAAATGGTTTCTTTCTTACTTTATCGCCACTTAATCTGCCACTGTTCATCCTTCCTTGAACGTGTCATGTAAGACACGAGGTGTGGTGGTGAAATTTGGTGGGTGGGGGCACTTTAATGTTTTTATTTGCTCTCAGTTGTTTTCTTTTCTTCGTCAGCATCATGTTGTGTAATGCACAGCTTTCCAGTAAAGGCTCAGATAAAACAAATCGCTCCGTGTGGACAAGTCAACACTGTTTGTAGTTGTTTGTCTGTTTCTGATACAAAGTGAAATTTCCCAGTTTTTCAGTGCTATTCGGTGTGTTCCCGTCACTGTACTCACTTTAACTTTTACAGTTTTATTGCTCCTTTTAATACACAGAGCATTTTATTTGCTGCTTACACAAATATCCCTGTTCCCAAGCATCTACTGCTCAGTGCCGACAACTTGCAGATCAGCATGCTCAGAAACCGCACGCTGTTAATAAAGTCAGACAACGTCCGAGAGCCACATGGAAAAATCTACAGAATCGCAGAGCTACGAGATGCATAGCTGCAATCTGTCCGTACAACCGCATGAATTTGAGCAGCAGAATAAATTATGGTGCAGTAAAAGAATGGAGTGCTTCAAAAATCCATTACAGAACTAGACTTCATGTTGAAATATTTGCACACAGTGTGTGGTATGAAGGACTACGTTGCTCTGTTTGTTTCTTTTGCTTTAAGTTTTTAATAAACCTTGAATGTGCGAGTGTGCGCGTTCATGTCTGACATCACTTTAAACAGAAAGGTGACCGCTTATAGCATTTATACTATTACAGATGTATGTCTGCTTTTACTGTAATGTGCGTAAGGAAGATTTCACCTCAAAATAGAGCACAGCCTGGGTGGGCTAACACACTCAGTGCTGGATTAGGAAGTGGTAGGCCACATCATTTTACTACTGACACATCTCTACGTGGCCCTGTGGGAGCTGTGAAGGTCCCCACAGTCAATCGTTCCACCTCCCCACCTCCTTCCATCTCCAATTCTCCCTCCTAAAATGTATTATTTTCATTTGCAATTAACATCACAAGCATAAATTAGTTTCATTTCCAACAAAAACAGAGCACAGTCTCAGTTCAGGCAATACATGAAGTCAAGTACAACTGCAATGACAGCAGGTCAGCTGATGTCATTTTCAGCCCTCATCAGCTGAAATCCATACAACTGCCAAATTTCACACAGAGTACACTAAACTGCTTTATCCTTCCTAGGACTGCTGCACATCTGCAAGCCACTTTGCAACCCACATTCATGCTTTGCCTGACTCATGGCCAGAACAAAAGCTGGACGTGCCACCGTCAAGAGGTTCATTAAGTCCCATATCGAAGCCGTGAAATGAGTGTTCTCACCACCACCATCTTGGGTTTTTTTAAACAAATGTAACGAGGTCTGACTATCAAGCCCTTTTGCTAATGATTTGTCAATTAAAAGCCAGAGAGTACATCCTGGAAAATCCCACTTTCTGACGCTTACAATAACCTCTAGTGGTAGTGTAAATATATATTTAGTTTAATCTCACAACATTCCAACCATTATTGCGTAAAGAAGTAAAAGCTGTAAATTACTCGATGGACATAAAGTTGAATTCATAAATGTATTAAAAAAAACTCAAAACAAAGAAACTCAAAAGAAAGACATAAGAGGACCTCTTTTGTTTAACATGACTTTTCTGGGTTAGAATACTTGGAAATAACCATCCAGACATTTAAGACAGAAGTGGCAAAACTTAACCTGCAGACGTCTGACATCAGGACTGGCATCCAATAGTTCTGGAAATAGATGTGAGACTTGGCCAGTGTATGTTTGACGTACCTGACAGTGAAAGATGTACTCTGGGGTGGCCTTCTTAAACTTGATGTTCCACACCAGAGCAACACCGTCTGGTTCGTGTGGAGCATCCTCATTATTGTTATAGGAGGCAACCAGCAACTCGGGATACTGAGAGAGAAAGGAAAGGCTTACAAGACGGGAAACATCCAGAGAACGATATGAAAAAAAAACAAAAAACCCAACAGAGACATGGTTCATTCTTGGCAAATCTTTTACTGTTTGGAAAAGTTTCAGGCCTAACCTGAGGGGACCAGTCGAGGCAGGTGATCACACGATGTTTTGACCAGTGCTCGTCATAGAAGAGCCTACTGAAGGACAGACTGGAGCCACTGCCCAAGTCTCTGGAAGAGGACAGTGGAGAGAAAGGTCAAAGGTTGCTTCAACTCAGCTTGGTTCCAATAGCAAAATCCTTGCCAGAGTTAATAAGCACCTGCCAACTAAAAAACTGACTTCATTCTGATGAAGTCATTTGTGATCACTGGCAAAGTAACTCCTAGTCTGGGCTTTACCAAAACGTACACACCATAGTAACTAGGGTGAAAGGGGAGCAACTTATTTTCTGCTGGCACAGCCACTATTTTAAAGCTGAGACTATTAATTGATTAAATGCCCTTTTGAACTGTACCATGTGTACTGTTTTACTAAAAGTGTAAGTTGCATTAGAACCGAGGCAAACATTCATTTTATAACGTTTACAAAAGTTTTAAAGAGAAAAAGAAACCAACATAAATGAAGATGTGTTGGACTGGCTATGAGTGGCACAATAATTTTAGGGTTGTTCGGCCATTCAAACCCATGCCATGAAGCTCCCGGTACCCAATTTCTGTGCTGATGTTAATGTTAATTTGGAAGTTTGGAGCGGGGTCACCAAGCTGATGAGTCGGCATCCTATTACATAAAAAGTGAGCTCTTTAGAACAACCAACAAATAGTCTGTATGGTTAGGTGCTTGATTTTATACACGTGTGACACTGACACTAAAAACGCCTGAATTCAGTGATTAAGAGATGGGGCTCAATACTTCTGTCCATATATCTAATATCAACTCTACAAGGGCAGCTCTCCAGTTGTAAGAAGTTGTACAAAATTCTAACAAAAATCATAATTAAGATTTCTTTGGTCAGTTTGGACAGTTAATGATTAATTTAACAAACCATGATCCATATCTTATTAAAACGGATACATTGAACTTTGAATGAATGAAAAACAAATAAATGAAAAAACACATCATGATAGTGGGAGACATCACAGTAATGTCTGGAGTTAAATCCAGACTGGGAGCTTCCACAGTGGGATGTCTGCAGACTGGCTGAGATAACCTGAGCAATCCGTAGAAAAAGGTACCTGCAGACAGCTGTTAATAATTTCACAGGCTCATTTATGGAAACCTGTCAGTTTTACTTCCCACGGACCTTGATGGCTGCAGCTTCCCGTTTAGTCATCTTGGCTTGACATGCACTAAGTGGCAAGTGAGTTTCAGGTTTTAGGTAGAGACAAAAGTACATTGCTTTAAGGGTAAGGTGTGAGCTCGATTTATAACATCAAGGGGGAAAAAAAACAAAACTTCATAGCAACAATTAATGTAAAAGAGTCATTTTTAAACTTAAAGCTGACTCATCACCTGGACAAACCTGGAGCGTAAATTACCACGCATTATGCCCACCAGTATGTGGATGATATCTGTATTGTCTGCAGTACTATGTGAGGCTGTATGTAATGAAAAAAGGTAGTGAAATGTAGGTTGTTACACTTTCAAAGCACGTCCTTGAGAAAAGAATAAAAAAAGGAGGGCTGATGTTGAGCACTGAGCCATGGCCTGTTTTAGACTTAATCTCTATTTGACCACAGGCTTCATGTTTCTCTGTGGCTGCAGTGGTCAAAGTTGAAGTGAGTCAGTAAAAGCAGCATTCTTCTATAATAGCAGAGCAGTATACTAAAACAGCTTTGCACTTATGACTCTTACAACTTCGACCAACACCTCCATTTAGAATAGAATAGAATACAATAGAATTCAACTTTGTCATTGCACAGGTACAAGGCAACGAAATGCAGTTTGCATCCATCCAGAAGTGCTTTAGCCATGATATAGATATATTACAAATATATATTAGCAATAATATAGATATGTGAGTATATTACAGAAATGGGTCTATTATGGTATGTTATAATGTACACGGTATGAAGTATGTTATGAATATGCTATAACTACAAGTATGTACAGGCTGTAGTGAGTACAGGCTATGTACAGAATATAAATATGAACAACTATACAGAATATGAAATTAAAAAAACTATACAAAAATATGAGATATACAGCTATACAGAAATGTGAACTATGCAGTTTATAAAGAGTTGTAGATTTTAAAATTATCGTATTGTAGAGAATGATTATTTACACAGAATTATACAGTAGTGCGGTTAAGATCAGTGAGATATGTGGATAATTTCTACAGAGGCTATATAAAGTGCTGGTGGTTGTGAGTGGTGGTTCAGTCCATGTTATTATTGTGTGTTTGAG